AACATCCACAGGAGACCAATCACACATCCACCTGTTGCATTCCACAGCAGCAGACAACCATTGTTTACATTTTGTTGCTGAGGCCACAGCTTCTCAGAAGGGAGAAAAATCCCAAGAAAGGATTTTTCACAAAAGATGTCTGTGACACTTAGGAACTCCAAATGTCTCTGCTTTACCTGCATTGCCATGAGCAGCAGCAGTGCCACAGCCAGGCAGAGCATTGGGATAAACAGAACTCCTGGGCAGCAGGAATGCAAGGGTGTGGGGATTTAAACGAGAATGCAGTGCAAGAGGAGAAGTCTGGCAGAAGGAAAGGGGATGCTAGTGAAGGGAGACCCAAGTTGTGCTCTTAAGCATCCTGAGAGATAAGTTACAGTATGCTTCATGCCTACTCCTGAGTCACACAATGCTTTTGTTTTATTTTAGTCAGTTGTGACACAGAAGAGAGGAAACGAGGCCCCACAGAGCCCTACATCAGCATCCACAGTGCTAAAAGCTTGTACAGAACAAGAATAATAATGTTAGGTCCTAAAAAGCTGTCATTCAAAGTGGGTTCAAGCAGCAGCAGATGCCAAGGAGGTAGTCCAAAACAGAAGGGAGGTATTATCACTCAGAGCAGTGGAAGGCATGCTTCTGCACCTGTTCCACCAGGGGATCTCAAAGGAGAGAGGTGAAATTTGGTACAGAACTGTACAGAAAAAAAAAATACTGCTCCTGCTTGTACTGAAAGATCCCAAACATTCACATTGTCAAACCTTTGCCACAGTAAACTACTTTTTGAAGAGAAAACCATAAACTGGCTACCATGATTTCATATTTAGATTAGAAGTGACACCTTAAAAAGTCAGATATCACAAAAAGCAGGTCACAGCCACAACAAGGGATTCATAAAAAAAAGAAAAATAAATAGAAGTCAATTTATTGGCACGTGGTACAGCAGAAAATAACATTTGGTCTTTGAAACTTCCTGTACCTCAGGGTGTTCACTGCGGCATGCAAAAGGCTTACACCTCTTTTACTGAAGGAGGAAACAAAAAGCATTTTTTGTCCATGGCCAGGGAAGAGCAGGCCAAGAATATTTATGATTGCTTGGCTGACCCACTTTTTGTAATGCAGGTGACTGCTTGCTGCTCATAAACTTCACCTGTCTTGAAGAGAAGTTACCAGAATAGAGCTTATGAGGTTGGAGGAACTTGGGAGATGCCTGCTTGACTGGGTGAGAAAGACAGGTAGATTAACTTACAAATTAGAAATACAGGTAAAATAGCTTACATGTTAACCCTAGAGTTAACCAGGAACCTGAGTCAACAATCAGTTCTCTGTGATAGCTCAGTGGAAACTCTGAAAGGCATTAGCCCTGCAGTTACCACTGCTTGGAGATAGCAATGGCCGGGAGGGGTATTTCAGTTTAAGTGGAACTGACCCTTCAGAGGGAGCTCTGCTGCTTTGAGTGATTGCCTTTGACGTGGCAGAACACGAAACACACAATGTCTTTTTATGTGGGCCTGAGGGCCTGAAAACTTTGACAAATTTGGAGGGACTATAATACTCTTCATCTGATCAACTAACACAGATGGAAAAATCAATGAGCTTTAGAGTAACCAAGCTATTTTCTTTTTCCAAGGTAAGCAAGGATTTTCCCAGAAGTATGCTAACCCTGCTGTGGCCTTGGTAGGAATCAGGATGGATAACAGAGCTTTTAATGTCTTTTGCCTCTGCAGCTGAGCTGCACTCTCAGTGCTGCACTGTGGTGTGCACACAAAGGACACAGCTCTAGGTGAAGGCATGATGATCACACAAAAAGTGACTTGAGAATGCCAGGTGTCTTACATTTTATGGGATAGTGGACTGGTGAAAAAGCCTTTCTTACAGCCTTCCTCTGCTTTTTGCTGCTTGCAGTGCTGTCAGCAAGCCTCACTGGCTTGGAAGGAGTGGAGATGAGCTGCCAGTTGCTGTTTCTCATCTCATGGGTTTGAAGAACTGTTTCTCACTGACACTGGCCTGAACACTCATTCCTAGGGTAACCACAACAGGATTTTCCAGAGCAAAGGCCACTAAAACACTGTCTGCAGTGCTTGGGGAAAGCTACAGAATGGAAACTGGGATGGAGCCTGATACTCCATCTGTTTTAGTAACAGTGTCTTGAGCTGAGAAGGAAATGCATGCAATTAATACATTTAAATTTACTGGTATTTTTTTCTTGCTTTTAGTTCTGAGAACAACGGGCTAGTTCATGGTGAGGAGTGAACCCAAAACACTGAAGTATAGACTACAAACTTTGGTTAAATCATTTCTGTTAATCAACAGAATAATCTTTGTACATTCAATTGTGTAAGGATCAACCTTGTTCACATCTCCTTAGCATCTCTTCAGCCCACTTCCTGGATTAGCTTCTATTAATTCAGCTGTTACTCTGCTTTGAGGCACTAAATTAACTCTGAGCTCTCATATAAGAAAGAAGGAAGTAGGCAGGCTCCCCTGTGGTGTGACAGTGGGAAAGAACTGAAAAGACATGAATGTGCAAGTTCTGCTGTTTGTGAAGACAGACTCTTTTTCTTCATGTTATGTATTAAGTATTTAAGATGGTAAGTTGGCAGGTACACATTATCTTCAATGATATGGAACTGCACAGCTTGTACCATCTGGCCCTGAGACTGTCAGCACTGAAAAATCTGATTGTGACAGAGCTGCAATAGTCAGAAAACACATTTCCTTTTCCCCAGCTGACTCTCAGTAGTCTGATCTTTGCTAAATGTCAAGTGTGGGGTTTAATTCTGAGTTTCCTGGCTCTCATGTACCTTCTATTTTAACCAGCTTCAGACACGACTGCTGGTGGAGTTTTATCATGTGCTAACAACAAGAGGCTGATAAAGGGGAGCGTAGTACACACTTAGAGACTTGCCCTAAATACTACAGGCAAACTTTATCTTCTTGCTGATAACACAGTTCATAAGGAATCAAGATTTCAATGTGTAGACTATGACGGTGGCGGTGCCAGCACTGCAGGAGCTCCTCATTCTGGTGAGGGAGAGGAGGGAAATGAAGTTCAAAGATTTGGCTGCCCACCCAGTATGACAAAGAGAAACTGGTAAGCTGTGTAGGTTTGTTAATGAGTACTACAGCTTCCTTGGCAGTTCTGTTTGCTGGAGCTCCTTGCTTTTCCAGGAGCCAGTGGTGTTCCCCACTGCCAGAGCTTTTCTAGTGGCAGAGACCTGGCATGATCCAATGGGGTGAAATCACAGAGATGGCTGTTTTCTGCATGCTGTAATATTGCATGTGCTCCCAGAGCTACATAAAGCAGATCTGCTGATGTTTTGAATTCCTCAGCTCAGCTCCAGCTCTAATCCCTGCAAGGAAATGAAGGGCTGGGGTGCTGCCTTCCAGGTCACAGAATGCCCCCACAGAGGGAGGGGTAGTTCCTGGGGACAGATACAACTGGCAAGAGGTAGCCTAGCACTAGAGCAGGGCCCAGGGTCAGCTACAGCCCAGGGTGTAGCCAGGTTTGCATCTCCACTTGAGCAGTGACCCCAAACGCCCAGGCCTGGGCAGAGAGGCACTGTAAGGGCAGGCAGAGTCACTGCTGTGCCTGAAACACAGATCCAAAGGCTCTCCCTGTGGAGACCTTTCCCAGCTCAAGCCTGCAAGGAAAACAAAGCCCTCTTGGCAGCCGTGGATTTCCCCTCCTTTTAGTGACTTCCTCCTAAACACATCAGTTTGCTCTCAGTAACTCTGAAGTCCAAAGGCTCTTGGAAAAAACTCACAGGTCCTTCCCAGTCTCTGTCACAGCAGGCGTGCCAAGAGCCCAGGCAGCTCTCCCCTGGCAGCACTCGTTGCCGGCAGGTGGGCCGGCAGCTTTCCTTCCCGCCTGCCTGCCCGGACGGTGGCAGGGTGGATCCCTGACCTCCGCCCCGGCATGTCCGGCTGTGCCCTGCGCCGTGTGCTCTGTGCTGGAGGAGGATCCAGCGCTTGTCCGCGATGCTCCCTGCAGCCCTGCTAGAGACTCAGGAAATCTGTGTCGGTGCCCCGTAAATGTCCTTGTCACCACGCCTGCTGTGGCAGTGGCAGCACACACCGACCGTGCCAGGTGCCGAAGCCATGGGATGCCCCAAACTGAGCGTGGTTTGTGTCCCGCTGCCCAGCGGGGTTTGCGAAGCTTCTGCTCCGCCGCCTGCTGAAACTCCCAGTGGGAGCACATGGAGTCCTCGGTGCACATCTCCTCCGTGAGCTCCGCAGGCCTTCGGAGGAAGGCTGGCAGCTTGTGTTCCGCGTGGGAATTGTGCTGGTTTTTTCTCAGCCCAGGCTATGATATCTGCACCCTGCAGCGCCGCGCTCATCGCTGCTCAGGGCCCGGCCAGGCTGCGTCTCTGCAGGGCGGCGGTGCACAGCGACCAAGCGCTGAGCATCCGGTGTACCAGGAACGGGACAGCGCCACTGCCTGAGCCCGCCAAAACCCCTCCCGTCTGAATGCAGAGAGATAAACCCGAGGTAAACGCCTAGCGAGGAAAACCCGGCTGGGAACATTTTGAAATCCACCCGCCCCCTTCCCACCCGCAGCCCCGCGGGGGCGGGCCGGGCCTGCGCAGCCGCTCTGGGCGCCTTACGGAGGGGCCGCTGCCGCCGCTGCTCGGCTTCCTTATAGCGCTGGCCCTCCTAGCCCAGTAACGCTGAGCTCAGGGCTCTCCGGTCATACCTACCCCCAGCCGTGAGGCTTCTGCCCGCTTCCCCTCGGCCTTCGGCGGCCTCGGGGCGGGAGGGCCCTCGCTGGCCCGGCAGCAGCGTGTGGAGGGCCCGAGGCGCGGCTGTGCGAGTGCGGCCCGGCCCGGGCAGCCCTGCCGCGCTTTTGGCTTTCCCCGTGTTTCCACTCCCTCCTCCCCCGAGCTGTGGCTGCCCTCGGGCTGCTGCGGTGGCATTTCCCCTCAGGAGGTGGCGCAGCAGCCGTGGCCGGGCCGCGGGGTGCTCGGGTTTTGGCCCGCGCCATTCTCCGGGCTCGCACCATGCCCTGTGTCACTCCTGATGCGCTTCACTGCCAGGGGAGGGGGTTTTGAAATAACTCCTGAATATTGCCTGAAGGAAAAGGGAAAGAAACGAGGCCGGGAGGAAGAGAACACCCTCACCTGCTGAGCAGGGCAGCTGGTAAGGCCGGTGCTTAACGTCCTGCTGTATCCATCACATTGTGCAGCAATGCTGCCAGCCGGGCAAGCCTGTGCAGGACGGGCCTTTGGGACATTCCTGGTGTCTGTGCGGTGCCATTGGTGAGGGTGGCCCAGAAAAACATCCAGTTCCTGCCTGGAGGTATGCCTGTCCTGGTTGCTCACTGAAAATAACCCAGGTAATGGCAAAGGAAACAGGATTTGCGTCTTGTGACGCTGTGTTGGGTGGGTTTTGTGGCCCTCTTAAAACACATTTCCTGGTTGAGGTTTGACAAAACAGGCTGCTGACTTCAAGACACCCCTAGATAAACCTGTTGGGGAAATACCTGCTCTCCACAGGAGGCAGGGAAGGTTGCCAGCTATTCCTTGCTTCTCTGCTTGATGGGTTTTGAACAAACAGCCCATCTGGCAGCTTCTTGTAAAGTAAATCTTGTCTTTACTTCTAGGATGTGCCAGTCCCTTTCCTGGAGGTTTCCACTGTTGTTGAGACGTTCAAGGGCATAACTAGATGTACTCTTTCTGATTCCTAGAAGAAACTTTTCCTCTGAACCAGACCCAAGAAACAGTGGCATATGTGATGACTGGCTGTTGACATTGGCTAGCATGTGCACTTTGAAAGGTCACCCTGTCCATCTGCCAGATCAGCTGGCCCAAAACATCTGACTGACCTGTTTGTTTTGTTCCAGCAGTCTGGGGCTGACAGACCATGAAGGAAGAATAAGGGAATCCTGAAGCAGCAACAGACTGTTTGCTCCTGGACTTTGTCCAGAGGGACTGTTTGCACATCAGTGCTCTCTCTTACCAGGTATGGCACAGAGGAATTAGTGAATCTCCTTCATTTGTCTGAAGGCCCAAGGCTGAGCCTTTTGTCACAAACACCATGAGTTGTGGTCTCACCATCAGCTTTGGGGGTAGGACTGCCTTGTACCTGCCTTAGAAGGACTAGAGAGAGCTAATCCAAAGGAAAACTATTATTTTTTAATATTGCTTTGTTCTGTCTAAGCCTGATCAAAGCATGGTTGCACATGTTGTTATTAGTCCTGTTGTTGCAAGCCAAGGAAAGGGAGCAGCACAGGCAGCTGGCAGAGACTTGCAGGGCTGCTGCAGCTGCCATCAGTGACAGCCTTAAGCTGCTGTGGTGTCACACCAGCAGCTCCTGTTGCTGTAATTTGCCATTTGCCATTCTGTCCCTTGGAGGGATAGAATTCATTGGGCTTGTGGTGTGTGTTTTTGGGGGTTTTCCAGACCAGTGAAGGGTATAGGTAGTTTAGTTCTTTAAAATACCATTCTACTTTAAAATAGCACACATCATAAACAGAATATTTGAGGAAAGTTTTTCCTTCTCTGTGTTCCTTATGCACAAATCATTTATATTTTGGTGCATGAAGAGCAGTAGAGGAGAAGTTTCCTTCTGGTGGGGGAAGATGGTTGTGTATTTGTTTGTTTGTGTGTTTGTTTTGTTTTTAACCTTCCACTGCCTTTTTCCTGGAATCTTTCTATGGGTGCACAGACCTTTTCCCTCCAAGGCAAGGCAGCTGGTCTTCTCTGGTATCACAGCCATCATCTCCCCTCTCTTCATCAGTGAGTTAGCCAGCATTTTGCAAAGGTCAGAGGTGTATCTTGGATACAAGTTTACTCAGCACAGAAGCACCTAAGGAATTCTGTTACTTTTTAAAAAATCTGCCTGGAGGTATTTATTTTTCAGTACTAATGCATTCTGGGGATTTCCTTGCCCACTGTGGCTGTCACATTCCTTACTGATGATACCCCCAAAACAAGAATTTGTCTTCATTTTAAAAAAAAGAAGATAAATGTAAGCCTGCAGGGCCACAGGCCATTGCCTGACCACCAGATCTGGATCCTGTGTCTTGTCACTCTTATCCCACCAAGTTTTCCTCACTTCACTGCTCTTCTGCCCCAGACTCTCATGTGACTTTAACATTTTAGATCCCTCCTCTCCAAAGGAGTTGCCCATCCACTGTAACTCTTGGTGTGGAGCTGGGTGGCACCTGCCCTGTCTTGCTGTGTGTTCTTCCCTGTGTGCTGGTGGACTGGTTGAGGAAGCTTGATAAAAAGGTGTTGGGATGAGGGGATGCTTCAACCAAAGCTTTCCAAAGTGCTGAGCACCAATTATCTAACACAGCTGCCCTGGTGTCTCCATGCCAGGAAGTCTTTGCCATCCCTGTGAGACTGAGGCTGCCAAGTTGTAAGATGCTTTTTCTTTCTGCTACTGAACATAAGCCAGGAGGGGTTGGTTTAACCTGAGAGTTGTAGCAGCATCAGTGGAAAGGGACCTTGTAGAATGTGTTTCCTTTTAAATGGCACACAGAGGACACCCTGAGGGGAATATGCCCCATGGCTTCCTAGTTTTGGGGCCTGAGGATGTACTTCTGGGAAGCCTCTAGGAAAGCCAGATTTATCATGGTCTCCTAGTTATCCTACTTAAGGCTGAGAGCTGTTATCTATGGGGCTTGCTGTTCCTTCTTTACATCTTTAAATTTGTTTTTATTTTCTTAATTGAAGTATGATTAGACTAGAGCAGCTCCTGTCAGCTCATAAAGCAGTACAAAAATGCCAAATTATTTGTGCTGACTTCTGCTTAGGTTTTCATGCTCTACAAACCCAGCTGAGTCTCATTTCTGTCTGCAGTGGGACCATGGAAGAGAAGGAGATGTCACCCAGTCACACCTCAGAGAGCAGCATGTTGGACCTCCCCTCTGTCTGTGACCTGGCAGAGCACTTTCTGCCTCCACACAGCTCTGAGAACAGCCAGGAGCTTTATCCTTCTGGGGATGTTTTTCCCTCTCCACCCACAGGTAACAGCTTCTGCCTCTCCACATGCTCTTTCTTTAGCCAGTGCTTCAGCTGTGTGGGCAGTGTGCTGCTTGACTGACTCACTGCAGTCTCATACTGGTGCACCTGCCTGTCATAAACCACAATTTTAGCAGAGCTCCAGCTGGACACAAACAGTGGGAACTGTGGGTTGGTGGGACACAGGAGAGGAGCTCAGAGGATGCTGTCAGCTGCTAATGTTCTGCAATATTCTACATGTTTAATGTGTTCTCAGAAGGACAGCTAACATGTCCTCCAGACATCAGGAGTAAACACTGTCACAAATTACCACAGTCAGTAGGAAGAGTTTTTCAGCTTTTCCCTGTGTTTTTCATGTGCTCACCACGTGCTTAGGATATGGCCTCATCACCCCATTACTTTAATAATAATCATAACTGAGTCTTTGCTTGTGCTAATGACAATAGTGTGGTGAGGACTGCTTCAGTTCTGCTCCTCACCTGAAAAAGGACTGGCTTCTGCAGAAGTAGCATTTTAGGTCAGCCACTACTCCAGATTCTTAGAAGTAATGGTATAAATTGTTTATCTGAGAAGGTAAGGGACAGCTGGCAAGAAATGTGAGATCAAAATGTGCTGGCCCAGTGGCACTTCTTGCCGTGCATGCATGCTGGCTGGAATGAAGGTTCTAGTGATTATGTTTAATATTGGGGGGAAAATAAGTTCTGGTCAACAAATGAGTGGAGAGGATTTGTCAAGACACCAGAGTGGTTGAAATGTCACCGACAACATTTCTTGTTGCTTTTTGAATCTTTAAGTAGTGTAAAAGTAGGATTTGGCTCCTCTTCTTACTCTGAAGTGGTTTTCTATGGCCTGTTTCCAAGAAATTAGCTTGAAATTCAACAGGGGAGTTTCTTGCAGTGGGAATGGCACATGTGCCAGGCAGGTGAGCAGTGGGATCTACCAACTGACCTTTCTCAGCTGATGCTGACTGGTTGTCTGTGCAGTTGCCTTCAGCTCTAGGTGTGAGACATCCAGAGCTGTAATGGAATCTGCCAACAGCAGAGACCAAGCCTTGCTTTGGTTTTTCACACAGACCAGGAGATCACATGTCTTATCTTAATAATGATGGGAATCTTCTGCTGTTAACCTCTGCTTTAAACCACAACACGTATCACATTCCATGATCCTTGTTGCACTGGAGCAATAGCATGTCTGTTTTGAGGTTTTGCTTTGTTTTTGTGTCTAAGAGTAGTGACCAGCACTGTAAGGAATGTCCTGAGCCAGCCTTTTCCACTGTCATGGGAGAGGAGCATGGAGAAGCTGCTCTGGTAGTGAGACAGGCTGGAAGGCATTTGTCTGCTCAGGTTTCACAAGGCCTGTGTGGAAGGTATGAGGCAATCCTGGGGGCTGTGAGGCAGTTCCTGGGATGTGTTGCTCAAACACCATTTGTTGTGGTTCAGGGCAGCTGGCCCTGATTGCTGTGTTGGATGGGACTCATGGAATAACTGCATGACCACTTGGCAGCCCCAGGAGTGTCTGAGGCTTGGTGGGAGCAGCACATGTGGAAATGACGGTGCTGGGGAGGTGTTTGTGGGGCTGTGTGGAGCAGGCAGCTGAAGCTCAGCACCAGGGTATGCTGAGGCCACATCCTGGCTGTCCCCAACACCCCCTGTGCCATGTGGATTCCAGGTGTGCTGAGGAGGGCAGATGAGCCCCATGAACCCTCCTCTTCATTGCTTGTTGTGGAGACTGCTCACAACTGAAACCCCTTAGCAATAACTGTGGGAGGCTCCCTGTGCTCCTGGAGTGAAATCATCCAAGTGTCACAGGATAACCATTCATGCTATGAACACCTTGGTTCTTTTCTCCTCACAAAACATCAAACCAATATACATACCCACCTCAACTCTCTCTGTTGATGCAACTTCAGTGTTCCAGCCCGTTGAGTTTGGTCACTGTGGCAGAAGAGACAGGAAGATGGTTTTAGAAACAGTCTGTCCATGTCAGATATTCTTGGAAAAACAAGTTCTGTCAAATGTATCCTGGGAAAGGAAGCTCCCATGTTTGTTTTGTCACGAGGCATTGAGAGCTGCTGCTGTGGCGTTGTGTAAGTGGGAAGAGTGGGAGTGGCTGTGGGTTGCACCCCCACAGGATGACCAAGGGATTGGGACTTGGGCAGGATGGATGAGGATCTTCCCTGGTGATTCAAAAGCATTTCCAAAAGGCCCATAGGCCTCTGGGAATGTGGCAGCTTCCTGAGGAATGAAACAGACTGACAGGACAGGCTGTGTTTTCTGCCATCTGCCACATGAACTGGACTGAGACTGACTGAAGCACCACACCATCCATGCCTCAGGGGGTGGAAATGGTCATGGGGTATTCCTACTGCCTGAGGCACCAGGAACAGGTTTTATTAGTCTAGAGAGGCTCCATCCCTTCTAATAGCAGAAGATAGGTACTCATTAGCCAGGAATACAGGGCCTTCTGAAAGCAGGCATCCCCAGGCAAGAAAACAGTAGTCCTGTAGGAAGATTACTAAATCTCTTAAATGGTTTATAAGTAAGTGGTTTTATGATTGGTGTGGAAGTGAGGGTTCTGCTCTTGCAACAGGCATTCATACCTTTAGCTTATTGTCACAGTGAGTTCAAGTGTCTAAGTGATAATGGAAAATTAAATGGGATCAGTAAACACTTCAGTATTCTTCAACTTTTTTATCCCATACTGGAAGATAGTTTTTAAAAATGTAATTGTTGATCATTTTTTTAATCTGCATCACTCAATTGCTCAATACACCAGGAAGACCTTACCACTTCCTCTGGATTAAGAAAAGTTGCCAGCAAAAGTTGTTACTTGGCAGGCAGCACTCAAGTGTGTGTGTGGGAAAGCCTTAAATCAGGGCACTGGACCAGAGAATACCAGGGACAGTGGAAAAATACTATTTACATGGAAAAATTGCAACCTAAGGAAGTGCTAGAGAATAATCAACAGGTGTGCTCTACAAATTGGTAGAGCACAGGGTTCTGGGCTCTGCCCATGCTCTGTGGTCAGGCAGAACTGGATTTGCCAGTGCAGCCCTGGAGAAATTCTCCTAAATTTGGAAGCAGCCTTTGAGAGTTCAGCTGTGGAATCATGCCTGGGAGACTGCCTGTCTGAGGCATGGGCAAAGCTCAGTCCCATCTCCTTTCCTGGCCCTTCCTAGGGCTTGTCATCTTGGGCAGATGGGCCTCCCTGTTTGTCCTGTAGCCTCTGCCTTCATTGCTTTTTCTCTGTGATGAAAAGCAGTGTTCTAAAATGGGTGGGTGGACAGGGTCACCCAGTGGAAGAAAATGGTGTGTCACAGGAGCAGAGAAAATAAAAGAGAGGTGATGTTAGGAGAGAAAGGATAACAGAATTTCCTGTAGGCTTGAAGAGACCTGCAAATATCTAAATGCTGACTGGCTTTTTTTTAAAAAAGCAAAATTAATTAAAGAGGTGTTCAACCTTTAGTTGCCTCTCCAAAGATACTTTTGTTCCTGCAGTTTGTTTCAAGTTTGAGCCCAGGCTTACCTTTAGTTATTTTCCATGGGCTTCCCTGACCTGTGTAGTGCAAGGAGAGTCCCAGGCTGCTCCTGGCTGTGCTCACTATTCCTGGTTGATCCTTAGTGCTGGTACACAGTGGGAAGTCAGCTCAGGGAACTGGCCCAGCTTTCTGGGCAGCCATGTGAGTATTTGTGTGGATGAAGTGGGGACAGCTCCTCTTCCTGGCAGCAGCACAGCTGCAGCCAAGATCCAGTGCTCTGCAACGTGTCCTGGCATTCACAGGGGTTCCAGGGGTTCCCAGTGAATTTACATGCCCAGTTTTGTGGTGGGTTGCTGTGTCTTTTATTAGCAACTGAGGAGTGGTGCTGATGTTGGTGCATGTGTTCTGACTTGTCCCTAAATGCTCTCTACCTTAAATACTCTCTGCCATGTCCTCTGGCCCGTCAGCTGTTACTTCATCTGTTTTGCAGAAGTGGGTTTGTGTTTGCTGAAGAAGTCCAGCATGGCTTCTGCTTTTCCTGCCTGGGAATTGTTCACAAGTGTTGATGTAGAGGCTGGAAATGAAAGGAGTGTGTTTGGTCACATCAGCAGCTCTTTTAGGGCTGGCTCTTGGTGGTGCTGGGAGGTTCAGTTCAGCCCAGAACTCATTGCTTGGTATAGAAGTTACAGCTTGGCTGTCTGAGCTGCCACTGCTGCCAGAAGTTGCCAAATTTCCAAAATTAATTTTTTGTTGGGCTAAACACTTTTATATATAGTCTCTTCAAGAGGTTTGTGTAACTTCATAAATCCAAAAGGTGTGTGATGTTTTAAATCGCTTTCAGACTGAGCCAAAGCTGAGCTGGAAAGGGCTCATAAGTGAACTCCAGGTCAGATACAGAAAGTATCTGAGAGTCTCCTTTGCCTAAAAAATATCGATCACCTGAGAATGTTTTAGGTTTTGGTTTGCTTAGAAGGTGAAGGGAGGGGTGCTGTTCACAGGTGCTTTGTGATGGGAAGTTTTCATTGACTGCAGAAGTTAGCAGGCTAACCCACTTCCGTTTGAGCTGTGGTCTCAAACAGAGCTAATTATTATTAACCGTGGAACAATAGAATTTGGGGTTTTTTTAAACCAATGTGTTGGTTTGAAATTGGTTAAGCACAGTGCTTGCCTGGCTGTGATGAAGAACATAGTCCCTGTTTTGGGAATTTGTGGATTTACCGGTTTTGGTTTGTTTTCTGCTGCCCTCTAGTGCTCAATGTTACCCATTTCTGATTTCACCAGCCTGGCAGGCTTACAACTTTCGAGGGTTTTTTAAGTGATGGTTTTTAATCAAGTGCACTCTCAAGTATGACCAAAATGCTAGATTTTTCTTAGACTCAAGTCTTACCAAGAGGAAAAAGAAAAGCAAAACATTTCAACACTTTTAATTTTGTATAGATGGTGTGGGGCAGTGGACTTGAAGTTCTGCAGCTCCACTGAAGTTATGGACAGGTTCTTCAGTGGGTGACTCCATGGCTCTGGTGAGTT